CGCAACAATTTCGTCTCGCAATGCTTCGCGACTTTTCTTAATCTTATTTACATGCAATTTTGTTGGCTTACCGTCAATTTGAACTTCATAGACTACATCCGACAATTTACTTAACACCAGGTGTGGCCCACTAAAATACTTTTTGAATTTTGCCCCAGGACTGTTCTTAATATCGGGGTGAAACACATAAACCTCATCCCCAGCCTTAAGCTCAAGCAATTTAGTATTCTGATCATAGTACTCCTTACTCTTATTCCTACTTCTAACAGTGGACTCCCTAGCAATATCGTAAGCTTCCAACAGACGATCCTTTAGCCGCGCACAGCTAACATTCGACACCTCCTTACATGCCAAGTCATCGTCGTTTGGAAGCTCCATTTCCCTACCGTGGAGGAGGTGGAAGGGGGATGAATTAGTGGCCCTATTCTTAACATTTCTTAGTGCCATCAGCACCAAGGGCAAATGCTCATCCCAATCGGGATCATTTTGATCAACATAGTGTGATAACATTGCAGCAATAGTGGCATGTTGCCGCTCAATCATGCCGTTCCCCGCCGGGTGATACGGCGTTGTTTGTAACTTTTGTATGCCTAACAGATCACACACCCCCTTAAATAATTTTGACATGAAATTTGTACCCCTATCACTAAGAAGTCGCTTAGGCGCCCCATGACGCGCTATGATATTAAGAACAAAAGCTTTGGCTACTGTTTCCGCGGTCTGATCCTTCATAGGGACTGCCTCTACATACCTAGTTAAGTGATCAATACAGGTTAGAATGTATTTATTTCCTGCCCTTGTAACCGGCAAAGGTCCCACAATATCTATTGAGCACAACCCCCATGGCTCCCTTTCCGGTTCAAATAGCTCCAAAGGTGCGGTCTTAATATTACCCCTCTTACGTAACGCACATTCCCGACAGCTATCTACATAATTCGTGATGTCCTTCTGCATTCCAGGCCAAAAATACCGTGCCTGGATGACCCCTTGAGTTTTAGCTGTTCCCATATGCCCGCTAAAGGGTGTATCATGATGTTGATACAATACTTTGAAAACCATTGACTTTGGCACCACCAACTTACATCCATCACCCTGCTGAACATACAGCAGTTGGTCCCGATCTAAGAAAAATTTTGACTCCCCTGACTTACCCAATCCATTAAATTTTGACTTACAAAATTCATCATTATGCTGTTCTCGTAATATCAGCTCCCTTGACCAGACAGGTCTCAGGACTTCCTCCTCGCCAACATAGTTTACCCTTGACAAGGCATCCGCCTGTACATTCTGCACCCCCTTACGGTGCACTACGTCATAACTGTATTCAGACAACGTTAGAGCCCACCGAATCAACCTCGAGTTAGGATCTCGCAATGAAAAAATCCATTTAAGAGCCGCACAATCCGTTATTATAGTAAATCTGGTGTTCAACAGGTACGGCCGCCATTCTTTTACTAAGGTCACGACAGCCAGGAGCTCCCGTTCAGTGGCCGAATAACGTTGTTGCGCGTCCGACAGAACTTTACTGAAATAAGCTATGGGTTTCTCCTCCCCCTCAATTTCCTGCGCAAGCACCCCGCCAATGGCCACGAGACTCGCGTCTGAGATAACAATGAATGGCCTATCAAACTGCGGATATGCTAGTATGGGCTCGCACAGTAATGAGTCTCTTAGCGCCTCAAACGCCCTCTGTTGTTCCTGACCCCAAACAAAAGCTGTATCTTTCCGTGTTAAGCTTGTTAACGGCCGCGCCAATTCACTGAACCGTGGGATGAATTTCCTATAAAAATTTACAAGTCCAACAAAGCTCCGTAACTGTTTAAGATTACTAGGTACCGGGTAGTTAGTGATTGCTAAAGTTTTACGCTCGTCTGGCCTCACGCCATCTTTTGACACAATATGACCCAAGTACTCTATACTATCCCGTGCAAACATACATTTAGTAGGCTGCAACACAAAGCCTGCTTCTTGTAGCTTAAGAAAAACATCCCCTAACCGCTCAGCGTGCTCTTTCATATTACGCGACGCTATTACAATATCATCCAGATAAACCAACACTCCCGCGGACTTAAGTCCCTTAAGGACATTATCCATTACTCTCTGAAACGTTAATGGAGCTGAGCATAACCCAAATGGCATCTTTTTAAATTCATATAAACAATCTGATGTAGCAAATGCGGTTTTATGTCGGTCCTCTGGTGCAACTGGAATTTGGAAATAACCCGAGTAAAGATCTAAATTACTGTAAATGCTAGTACCCCCCAGGGAATCTAATGTTTCTGTTAGCAAAGGTAGCACGTAGTACTCCTTTTTAGTTACATGGTTAACTTTTCTAAAATCAATAGCAAGTCGCCACTGAGGCTTCCAATCCGGTCCCGCATCAACCGGTTTCCGTTTCTGACACATAACAATGGGTGACGCCCAATTCGAGGTTGATGGCTGTACTATGTCCCTATTTAACATATCGCTGATATGTTCCTGCACAACCCCTTTCAATGACTCAGGCAACCTATAGGGTGCAGAGCGTACCGGAAGTGCGTCCCCCGTGGGAATTTTATGCTCAATAAGGGTCGTACACCCCAGTGGTCCCGTACCGTCATAAAATAACGATCGAAACTTCCATAGTACTGGAAATATTATATCCCTGTCACTACTCTGAAGGTGTGCTAATTTAGAATCAATTAACTGTTTAAGATTTGCCAATTTCTGGCCACCCTGCCCTTTAAAAACTTCCCCCCATACTCCTTCATCCTCCTCCAGTTCGGCTTGCCTAAATCTTTCGACCAGATCTACCATCTCACTTCCATCCCTAATCAACCCTACATGACTAACACCACCTCGTGTTCCGCCACCTTCGGTCCCTGACCGGATACTTTGCCTCTCCCAGGCTGCATGACTAACACCTCCTCGTGTTCCGCCATCTTCGGTCCCTGACCGGATACCTTGCCTCTCCCAGGCTGCATGACTAACACCTCCTCGTGTTCCGCCATCTTCGGTCCCTGACCGGATACCTTGCCTCTCACAGGCTTCACTACACATGGGCCTCTCACCCGCAACACTTGCCGTACTCCGGCTACCAACATGCCTCTCCCAGGCTTCACTACACATGGGCCTCTCACCCGCAACACTTGCCGTACTCCGGCTACCAACATGCCTCTCCCAGGCTTCACTACACATGGGCCTCTCACCCGCAACACTTGCCGTACTCCGGCTACCAACATGCCTCTCCCAGGCTTCACTACACATGGGCCTCTCACCCGCAACACTTGCCGTACTCCGGCTACCAACATGCCTCTCCCAGGCTTCACTACACATGGGCCTCTCACCCGCAACACTTGCCGTACTCCGGCTACCAACATGCCTCTCCCAGGCTTCACTACACATGGGCCTCTCACCCGCAACACTTGCCGTGACAACTTTAGCGGGTCTACATGTGTAACTAATTGTATTCCATGCCACGAGGGAGAGAGAAATTGCAACCCTAAAGTTCGGCCATTGAAAATGGGCCAAACTTTCATTAATGAGGGGCGAGTGTTGGCATTGAAATCCCAACAAATGTTAATCACTAGAAGCCGTTAGAACATCTGCTTCACAGATGCTACGATAATCACAATATCTATTCACCAACGTAAATTCCTAAATAAAGATTATTGTAACCGTGACGACAGAGGGAAGGGTGCACGCGACCTAGGGCATTCACTAGTAGGCTGACATCTGCCTACCCTAGTTGGGGTAGGTCACGACAACCCTAATATGGACCCCAGTCCATTCATAACCTCCCGTTGGGGTTCACCCTTCGGGCACAGTTGTAAAGCACCTCCCCCTTGTCATTGTAGTCCCTACGCCATTCACTAAGCCTCCCCCATTCAGACTAGGGTAACTACCCTTACTACAATAGTCTAACGGTCCGGTATGAAACATTATATTATTCTCTATAACTTTCCTTTGAATCATCGTGGTTTCCAATTGATCTATTCATAGGCCCAATGTGGCTTGCGGTTGGGGGATGGCCACTGACGCTACTCGCGGTTTATATAAAAGGGGCTCCTAGCCCGGTCTTATCATTCCACTCGTACAACGCATCGGTGACATGCTGCCCGTCCTAGGTGAGTCTCTCATTATCTCGTGGTAGCTCTCTCTCTCTCTCATTATAACATCTCCGTTTCAGTATTAATTATGTTAGAGTCCCCTAGTCATTCATTGTAATTATCTATCTATATTATATTCTATCTTGTTTGTAATGTCATAAACTACTGCTGTCATAAATAAATAATGTTCTTAGCATACTCCTCCAGTGTAGTTTTGTCCAAGCTCCCAGTTGCTTGTAGCCCTTCTGGCTAACTAAGCGACATCCAACATACTGATTATGATTGTGTGTTTAAAATTTTGTTTTAGTACCTCTATCCAAAAAAAACCTAAAAAATGATTTGGAAATGTGACTACAAGAAAAAAAGATTAAGCCATGCAGAGTATGTTTAACCTTCTGAATTAAATGCTCTTTTATTATATCTTTCACTCACAAAACACTATAGAAAACCGACAAAGGCACGAGCGAGGTGCAGGAAAACTGGATTCCAACTGCTGCATGGAGGCTGCTCAATGTGCGATACTCCATTTAAACACGTGTATTACAGAATCAGCTGTGCCTCGCCTCGCTTTAATGTGTGACGGGCCTTAAAATGGACAAGAGAGAAATTAAGACATAGGGTTTTTTTGTGGGTCAAAATGAGAAACCCGTTTTTTACCCCATAAAACTCCCTTGGTCCATTCATGCTGGCTCGTGAACTCATTTAAGTTTATCAGAAATGGCAGATGAAATGTAAAATCAAAATGTTTTCAACACCGGTAGTTTAAAATTTTATACATAAGCACATAAATAAAATATCACTCCAAGAGCTCTCTTTACATGTCTAGTGTCTTTATACGCTTACAAATATAACAGAACTCCCTAATGAAGTTTAAATTTAAAATATAGGACGAATCTTTGATTTCATAGTTACCAATGTTTCTTCTTTATATCAGCAAATATCTTAATATTTGTTGCTCCGATGTTGCGCCGGTATCTTAGCAGTTCTCCTGCGCAAGCGTTCATCAACCCTTCGTCAGCCACGTGGGAGAAGACGAACCCTTCCGCTCGGATAAAGGTAAACCCTGAAGCCAACGCCACTGCGAGGGCTTGCTGGTTACCACCTGCTAGTACCTGCACCATGTTACAGCCTGTACTACACTTTTATTCTTATATCTAGGGAATACATTTTTTATATTTACAGTATCAAAAACATTTTGCAGTGACGTAGAATTTCTTTACATCACTCTTTGGTTTCCATGTTCTTCATACTACTGAGTGAATTTGTAGTCATCAAAAACGCAATCCTGTTGGTACACCCATCAGAGAATTGGTTGTTGAATTAAATTTTAGAGAATTCATTCGATAGACTCAACATTAAATACAGCCTTATACAAGCGGTTAAAAAAATTGACTGTACAAAGGGGAAAAGGGAGGGTAACAAAGATGTTTAACCTAGTTTGGATGTGACAGAACAATATAATTAGTAAAAATGTCTTAAGTTAGAAACTTCCTAGAGTCAAAGACTAATCGGAAAACTCTCGTCATTAATCTTTTTCCAACCTAAACTATTAAAAGGGGAGGGACGGATAGAATATTTATGTCAGTATTAGATCAACTTACAATAGAAATATTAGGGTGATTCACATAAAAAGGTTGGTTGAAGGAAGAGTGGTGAAAATGAGGCTTGAGAAAGAAATAGTTAGGAAGCACATAGGAGACTTCCAAAAATGCATTGTGGAATAGCACCTGATTGGAGAGAAGAAGATGGCTTAGGCTTCAGCATCGCTGGGTAAGCAAGCTCGCTCTCTTCTCGCCTCCCCAGACAGATAACACAGGTCATAGCTTCCTGAGATTGTACCTACATCGCTTGAGGATCTACAATGGAGACAAAGTGTGGGCCGTCCGATCAGACAGCAGATCACCTACTCTGTAACTGAATGAGGTAAGGAAAAACACTCTTGGACCATGACAAGGGACAGACACCTTTCTCAGGAGGAGCTCATAGATTTGATGCAGCAGTTCTAGCAACTCAGGTTTGACAGGCTCTGATGCAATAAGCGGGGAGCACAAAAAGCCCATTGGTGGCTGACACACTCGGACTAGGTCTGCCCCGCTTGAATCAATCCAGGATCTAATGCTGGAATTAAAACAAATCTACAGCAAGTTTAAAATGAAGAGATTTACTTGTAGACAAGAACTAAAGAGGCTTATAAGCAAACTCAATAGACTGGAGTAGTTAGTTCATTGATATAATAATCAGTCATAAGCAAATTCAATGAAAAATAATTATCACATAACTATGTAAGTTTATAAGTGAATGATTTTCATTTACCTGAACCCCACAGCTGATATGTTCAGGCAAGACTCTCCTCACAGCAGCACAAACAGCTGTCATAGTAGCCGTCACTTCAGGCCCCAGCTGATGTTGTTGCAAGTAAGGCAAATCGTGCATGTTCTCAACAAGAACTGCGTTCTGTTGAAGTGTGGGACATATTTATTACATCAATCCTTGATCATTAAGCTTTCAATGAATGCATGAAACATCTGGTCTTAAGCTGGGTTTTCCTAGACGCTGAAGCCGAACATGGAGAGCGGAAAAGCATTTAACATGCTGTTTCTCTACACTTCTAGGAAAACAGTAACATTAAATTACCTAAGATAAGACGAATCCGTTCTCCGTTTCCACGTCTAGGAAAACCTGGCTTTAGTCACTATTAAAGCTATTCAAGTCATCATCATACTCAACTCCCATTCACATAATATGGTTTTGAATTAGAACACTTTATAGTGTATCCTATCCAACAGTGATATTGGGCATAGCTAAACTTCTTATCTGCTAGATATTTTGCAATCATTGAGTTCAACCAATCAGAGTTGGTTAACAGTATTGAATTTTCAGAAACATTATTTTGTGGCCTTAAATTAATACCTCGTTTGACCTATAATCCTGATTTAGGATCGAGATTTTAACAGCGACCATAGTTGTAAAAATTAAATAATTAGAGCATTTCAAACCTGGTTAGTGACCTGGTGTAAAAATATTTTTGAAACCATACAAAGCAAAAGGTATCAAAGCTTATGCAGATTTTTTCAACGACTAGCATGATTTAAATTCTTTTATGACCAAAGTGAGCCGTTAAAAGTTAAGGGATAAGTTTGATTTAACATTAAAGTTTTGTAGCTTTGCTGAAATCTAATTTGAAATGTGTTGCATAAAATCAACTTACAACTCCACCTTTACTGTAGATCTCCGCGTCCTTGCATGCTGCTTCAATGATCTTCTGTACTGTCAAACTATTTCTTGGAGTACCTTTACCAGAATAAACAATTACCACAATTAAACAAAACTATTTGGTAAGTTTACAAGCAGGCTCCCATTACCAGGAAAAAGAGCATAAAGCTATTTGTTATACTGAAATAACTGAATTGACATTTTGGTTAAATCTTGTATAACACCCATCCACCTCTAAGAGTGAGTTGGGTCTTGTCTTAGATTATAAGCATATTTCACTTAAGCATACCTTACTCAAGCTTAATCTATGGCCTTGTACAATATTAACTATATTTTTACCAGTAAAAGACTGAATAGATTTTTACCCCAAGAAAAGTTTTTAGCGAATTTCCCAAAATGGGAATAAGCTATTACCGTATTACTCTTAGTAAGACCTGGACCCGGAACTGATTAACTTTTTTATTTTGAGGTCCCTAGAGGCCAAAAACACCATCCGTTCAAATTCATATATATTTAAATACAGGGTCAATAAAAAGTCAAGTCCCCCCGTAGAATATTTTTCCAAGTCAATATACAAAGATATCCTTCTGGTGGTCATGCAATCTTAGCAGGAAGTTTTATTATGATTTTGAAATTTTCTAGTGTCCCTTAAAAAAGGAGGGATTTTGGGGGCAACTCAAAAATGATAAATGTAAAAAACCTTCAAGTGACACCTCATTTTTAAGTGTTTGCACAAACTTAAAGAATGGTGAAACCCAGAGTTCGCTACCTCATCTCTATCAGCGGCCATTGGGTAGGTATTCCGCCGACATTAACATAAGATGGGAATTCAATTTGAAAGCCTCTTATGTAGGAAAGGTGTAGAGGAGGAGGAGACATCCTTCCACGTGATGTTTATGTGCCCAGCCCTAGAAGGTCGTGCATGAGATCCCTTGGCCTATCGACTGGAGATCAAAGGGAAGAACAGGTCACCATAGTCAAAAAGATCTCATGGTTCACAAAGGACCTGGGATTTGACGGAGATTTAGGACCTGTGAATGCACAATAAGCACCCTAGCTACGCTAGTGCTAGCTGCACTGCAATCCCATGAACTCATCTTAAAGTCTGGCCCACTTAAAAAAATAAATAAATAAAAATGTCAGACAATGGAATTATCATGTAAAAATAGGGGGTCCCCATTTTTTACACTAAAAACACAACATTTCACAATTTCTTTCCCAACCATTTTGTAGAGCTTAAAACACATTTAATTAATTTAGTACATATAATGAAGTTATTATGTGCCTAAAATAGTTATAAAGAAAATTCTAAAAAGTTTAAATTTAAAATTCCAATGTTATTCTTATGGATTAAGTCAACTGTTTGTTAGCTTGTTTATAAACTTATTTTGATCAAATTTTGAAAATACATTAATTTCTTACTAAATTATTAACATGTTTAAACACAAAACACAAGCTTTGAGTTTTTTATTTGTTTTATTGAAAGCACCATTTAAACATATACATCAACCCCGGACCTCTGCTAGTTAGTAGAATAAATGTGATATTTTTAAGGAGAAATTTTATTATAAATCCAATCAGGCAAATGAAAATTTGCTTAGTCTGCAGGTTTGATGTGGCGGGGGTATTTTTATTTCTTGAAGATTGCAAGCGGTCATCTTGAAAGCGAAAAAGATTATTCACAATAAATTCCCAATAACAACCAAGTTAACAAACAATGCATAATGCATATCAGCGGATTTTTAATGAAGAGAAAAGGCACAGGTCTGCTAACTTGTCTTGTTTCTAAACAGTGAATCTCTATACTGTACTTGTAATTAGGGTTGCGTTAATAACACCCTGTATAATCCACGATCCTTGGAGTTGCACTGGCTGCCTAGACGCTTACAAGAAAAAAGTTGCTATGGATACGAAATATATTTTCAACAAAAATTTTTAGTTGATAGACCAAATTTTGACAAACCAAATTTCAAAAATGTGTTTTTGCAGGGAATTTTTAAATTCCGTAGTAAAAATGTTCTGTCCCCAAAATTCAGAGGACAAGAAAAGATCAGGAAGAGTGAAAGCAACAAAAATTGAAAAAATCCCCAGAGAGGGTCAATCATCAAGGTTAAGGGTGACATTTGTAATCTCTGAAGATTCATCTACACCAATCCACATAAACCAATCTGACCAATCAACCACATCGCAGAGCATCAACAGAAACAGAAGTACACCAAAAAAACGTGGTATATACACAATCCACAAAGTCCATTTTAAATAGCTATCACAAATTTCACAAAATTTTAGTATAACACAAACTAAATTTTTGTAACAAACAACCAAACAAATATAACTGGACGTGGTTTTTCGATGAACAAAATGAGATTGGAAATGTGAAGCAATAAAGAAGAAGGACTAAAAAAGTACCTATTAAAGAATGTACAAAAGTATGTACCTAAGTGAAGGAACAGAACAAATTATGAAGACGGAGTTCAGTAAAGGATAAGAATGTATTACGGATTTAAGCAAAGGAAGAATGGTGGAGATTTGAGTTTGTGTTGAAGGATAAGAATTTATTAAGGATTTAAGCAAAGGAAGAATGGTGAGATTTGAGTTTGTGTTGAAGGATAAGAATATCAGTGAAGGATAAGAATGTATTAAGGATTCAAGCAAAGGAAGAATGGTGAGATTTGAGTTTGTGTTGAAGGATAAGAATATCAGTGAAGGATAAGAATGTATTACGGATTCAAGCAAAGGAAGAATGGTGAGATTTGAGTTTGTGTTGAAGGATAAGAATGTATTAAGGATTAAAGCAAAGGAAGAATGGTGAGATTTGAGTTTGTGTTGAAGGATAAGAATATCAGTGCAGGATAAGAATGTATTGGATTTAAGCGATGGAATGTTTGAAGAAAGTGAAATTTGAGATTTGAAGTTAGTGTGAGAAAAGCAAGAGGTGAGTTTGTGCCACTTTTACTTAACTTGTAAGTTTTAACAACTAAGATGCTATGTTTGTTTAGGCTGTTCTTAAAACACAAAGTGACTAAACTTTGGGTTGGACCCATTTAGAATGGGATCATTATCTAAACTAAAAATATCCACATAAACCAAATGCACATTACAAGAGCTGTTGAGTTAGTGACAATTTGCTGTGACGGGTAAAACCAAGATATGCGTAGGAGAGGAAAACTGTCCAATGTCTCAAATTGAGATCCTTTTTCGGATTAAGACAGGATTAAGTCTAACTATGTTTAACAATGATTTTATTTTCATTACTACTACAGAAAAAAAGGTGTAGGGGAGAAACTTGTGACTATTGAAAGAGATTTTTAGGCTAATTATCAAATAATTTTTTGCTATTTTACCAAATTTTCTCTTAACATTTTTTTTATGATGTTAAATAGTAAAAGTTTTTTTACAAAAGATTTTTTTTTAATTTGAGGCGGTTCTTATTAATTTTGAAAAATAAAACTAAGTTTTAAATTTTAATCGATTAGCGACACATAAGTGGGGAAATGAGGTTCCAAACATATTTGTGATAAAGAACTTCAAAGGAATCTTTTAACTCTTATTTATATTACACACAATTTATACATTTCTTGTTGCAGCAGACGGAAGCTGGAAGCAGTTACACAACCTGGCTGAGTGAGTAGTATATTAATTAATTTAATCAAAATTTCTAAAAAAAACCTTGTTCTTACAGCTTACATGAAGGATATTATCAATAACATTTTTGCTCTGGTTTATGTTATATAGATGATAACATAAACATTTCATTTGCGGAAATTAAATTGTTTAAATGTTTGATTGATGACACTATCGTGTTTTATCATGTTCATGAACTGGATCTTGTGCATGACACAAAGTTTTCTTTATAATTTTTTTTACAATTACAAATATCTTATTAAGCTTACCGTTGGTCTTATTGTAAGATCTAGACCCGGGACACTTTTCTTTTTGTTTTGACTTCCCCAGAAGTCAGAAAGACAATCTGGACTATGGTAACAGGGTTATGAGGTAAAAATAATGGGTTATCCCCATTTTTTATCTACTAAATATAAAATTTCACAGTTTCTTTCTCAACCATTTCCTATTTTTTATACATCTAAAAAACAAGCAAATAATTTAGTATGTTAAAGCATTGTTGTACACCTAATGATTACAAAGAAATATCCAAAAAACTATAAAATTCAAATTCCGATGTTAATCTTACGGAGAATCAGTAAATTAATTGTTGTTTTCTTGTTTATGGATAAGTATATTTTGATCAGATTATTTGGTGTTTTTTTTAATATTTAATATTTTATAATAAATAAGTTTTATCTTATTGATATTATATTGCTTGTTTTGTTAGTATATTTTTAAGATTTTAATAAGCCAAAATTATGTTGCAAAATGTATACTTTTAACTAACATGTATTTATATTCTGTGTTTTAGACTTGACGGACATCCTGATTTGACGAACTGATATGACATCCTGATCCGAGAACCTGACTTGACGACCTGATATGACAATCTGATTCGAGAACCTGACATGACGACCTGATATGACAATTAACCTGATTCGAGAACCTAATTTGACGACAACCTGAAGAAAAATACCCAAATTGGACAATTCTAAGAGTAAATACCCGGATTTGGAACATAGTTTTAGGTAACTTAATGTGAGTAATCAATCTATCTTCAAAATACATAAATGTTGTGTTCAGCCAATAGTTTGCGAAATATTTTTTAGAAATATAATATTCAGATTTACAGATTTATGGTTTTGATAGAATAAGAGGTTACTCGATGGTTAATACCTTAGAGTTGGAAAATCATTAAGAAAAAAAATTAAGTTACTAGGAAAAATTAAAATTTTGAAGTAGGCTTGGTTTTAAATTTATCATGTTAAACTTTCTAAATATATGTAGGCCTACTCAACGACCATTAATTCTGCCATTTACTGGATCACAACTTAGGGTGTAGGTGAATGATTTTTTTCTCATAGTATAGAAAAATTCCTATATTAACAAATTATTGTAATGACAACAAAAATATTGTGAAATAAGTAGGAACACATTTGGATAATTTTGTTGTTTTTTCAGACTGCAATTTGAGAAGAAAACGGAAGAGAAGGGAGAGTTTTGAGTTAAAAGAGAAGAGGGGTTCAGAAATAAGATGCATAAGAAACACTGAGAGTAAGAGTACCGGTAAGTCTTTAACACCTAGAAATTTGGAACATGAAGAGAAGAACAACAACGAGAGAAAGGTTTAGGGAAAGGAGACAGGAGGCCATAACACCAAGAAGAAGGAAATCGATAGGCATAACAACAGGAGAAGAAAAGATTAGAATAAGTGAAAACATCATAAGGAACACCTAGAAATTTCGAATATGAAGAGAAGAACAACAACGAGAGAAAGGTTTAGGGAAAGGAGACAGGAGGCCATAACACCAAGAAGAAGGAAATCGATAGGCATAACAACAGGAGAAGAAAAGATTAGAATAAGTGAAAACATCATAAGAGAATAGGAAATGAAAGCATAAGTCAACAACTAGAGAAGGTCTCGTAAGTCAGAATAACATCAAGAGATTGTAATGAAAAGAAGAACAAGTAATAACAACCAAGAGATTGTAATGAAAAGAAGCACAAGTAATAACAACCAAGAGATTGTAATGAAAAGAAGCACAAGTAATAACAACCAAGAGATTGTAATGAAAAGAAGCACAAGTAATAACAACCAAGAGGAACAGGAAACAGAAAGGAGAATAACAGCAAAAGAGATGGCGGTCCAGTTTAAAAACCCCCAAAAAAATAAAAAAATAAAAAAACAAACAAAAATGGAACAAAACTATAAAAAACACAGAAAAACTTAAAAACCCCAAAACCCAAAAAAATATAAAAAGAAGAGAGAAAACCGTGTACCTATTTAACTATTCCTTATGAACAATACTGTAATAATTGGCTTTTAATTAAACTTATTTATAAAGATTATTTTGTGTGATTGTATCAATCCTTTATGTGAAGGCGATTTCTACAAAACACTACCGGTACTCCTCCGTTAATAATGGATGGATTTTTACAAACGACGTGTCAAAATCAAGTATTTTTTGTGTAGATGCCCCATTTCACCAATTCATGTAGTAAAAATCCTCGGGTTTTGTCCCACAGGCCATCAAAGTTTGATTTTCTCCCATAAGATTAACATGGGGGAATTTAAATATTTAATTGGAAACTTTGTCTCCACTAATTTGAGAGAACGGCTGGGCGTAGAAACTTGGTAGGGATGTCCAAAGAAAGGTCTTGGTCTGTACATGAGTTATCAAAAGAAAAACTAAGCAAAATCCCTTAGGGCTCTGCCCCAGAAGCCTTTCCACAGAGTTGTTTACATTTTGGCCGTGTGAATAATAGGTACTTTTTAATAAAACAGCTGTTCATTTTTAAATTGTATTTCACATATTTATTGGGAGTAACTGAATTGTACCAAATAAGTATTTGCAATGTTATTTTCTTCTGATTTTAAAATTAATTTTCCTCTTTATCATGTCATGTTTTGCAATATAACGTTCCATTACGAAATCAGTGGAAAATCCTTTTATCACAGCAATTCTTAAATTATTTCTTATTGAACTATCTTATCTATTGTTATCTGCTTTTGTAGGTGTCTGCCTTTTTCACCACTTTTGCCTACATTTTATCATATTATTCTACACATATCAAATATTTATGTATAAATGTCTGCTCTTATATTAATTGTGTCTAATAAAATCCAAACATAGAAACCTTGCCTAAAATGGTACCCATCTTGATAAATTATTTGCACCTGCCTATATTACAGACTTTGGCACACTTGGTTGGTAACATTATTGAAAATAACTCTACATTTTGGCTGTAAAATATGGTACGAGAGAAAATATGATTTAAGCAGCTACTATGACAGAAAGTTCATATTCCTTTAAACTAGATCACATAATCCTTTATAAGATACGTTGATTACCAATATGTAAACGTCAATATATACGTAACAGCCAATTTACAGTATTTTTGCTTTTTCGAAATGTCCCATTGCTATGTCATTTGCATTATTTGTTGCCAATGAAGCCGCCAAGACCATATAAATGAGGAGGCCTCCAACAGTTTTCACTTCAAGTACTCCACAACACCTAACATTCCGTAGAGAGATTATTTTGACAACTTTATGTTATTGATAATGCTGAGACAACCTACTGACATTCCCATGTCAAGGAATTCCAGCTTCAATAGAAATAGAAACCCCACAATCAATTTCTCAAAACTATGCTAGAGGGTTCATTCATTGGCACAGAAGTACGATATGAACTGACGTGACGTGATGAAGGAAAAATCAAACTTACACTGTAACGGATATACCTTCCTTTGAAGTTAAAATATGTCTTACCAACAAATATTCTTTTTTTTAAATAAAATCATATTACACTGATGAAATCACCGAAGTGTTTATAACTACAAAAGGCCCACCAATACGATTTTAATACTATTTAAAGGTTCTTCCAAAGGAAGAGATGTCATATAACATACTAATAATATGTTACAACAGTTATTCTCAAAAAGAATAACATGGGTCGGGTGCCTCCTTTAAGTATCTATATATTCTGTATCTGTGATGCTACAGCTAACAGCTATAGGTTTAGATTTTAGACACTGAACTGACTGAACCGACACGGTACGGTGTTTCCAATTTCCATACCAAGGCCACCCGCCACAGTTTCTAGTGTGGCCGCCATGGCCTTGTCCAGTGTCCACATCATACGCGAATATCCCGCCCGAAAACGAGTTTTTTTTTAGACCATGAGCGGCCGATCGGGATTCAAACGAGATGCGGGAGACAACAGGATATTCAGCTATGCCGTCTGTTTTGGTTATTTATATTGATATTTTGAGAAAAAATAGCCCCCATTAATTAAATTACTGAAAAGAAAATATAAAAAGCAATGTTAAAACAACCAAACACTAAACGTCAAATAACACGGGATTGAACAAACAACAAAGATTTCATGCGGGATAAAACGGGATTTTCTGGACTCAATCCAGATAATTATACTGGACTGGACTGACTAGTGGACTGGAAGTGGTACTGGTCCTGGTCACTGGATAGGTTGGTTGGATTTGGATTTTGATAGTCAAAAACAAAAATAAACAAACAGCAACAGCTTTAAAGATCAACCAGGTATACAGCAATTACAATTACGGTCAAATCCAATAACAGAGCAGCAGCAGAAACAATTCGAATGTAAAGTAGAAACTTACCTGGCAATGCTTGAACATGGATCATGCCTACAACAGCGTGTCCTAACTTAAACATAGTTACAGTATTATCCTTTCTCAATTCGCAAGTCTAACCTCAAATCTTAATGAATAATCAGGGTTCAGGGTGAGGTGAGGCGACAACTGGACGGTGGGGCACACGGGAGGGACTAAGGCTAACATATCTTGTAGTGTCAGCGTTCGCCGCTAGAACTGCTAAGTTGAAAAAATTTAAATATTTTTTTTAATTTTTAGTTATAAAATTAACTTTTTAATTATAAAATATTGTTTTAAAATTATAAAATAAATTTTTAATTTTTAAAATTAAACTGTCATAACATAACCTAACCAACCAGACTTGCTGATGATATAAAAACTATATAAGATGAAAACCTAATTAATGATTACTTATAATTTTTAATTAATTATAAAATTAATTTTAAAATTTAGTATTATAAAATTAAACTGTCATAACCTAACCTAACCAACCAAACTTGCTGATATGAAAAATTTGTTGACAAAAAGTTAGTGCTGCCAGCGGGATACGAACCCGGGACCCCCTGAACACCAATCCGATACGCTACCAACCAAGCCACGAACGCCGCTGAAACCACATCGTTTCGTTACGGTAATCGTGTCGCCTCAAGAGAAGACATTAGCCACTAGAGATGACGTCACTACACCTTTAGCCTTAGTCCCTCCCGTGTGCCCATTCCGAGAACCGGTGAACTAAAAAGTGAAGTGGTTCAAATTCGGTGTTCTGTTGTTTCATTTCATTTCCATCGTTTTGCTGGTTCATTCCACGTCCAAAATTTTCGGGCATGGTATATTAACTAACAGTTCCACGTGAAGATCACAATAAGAAAATGTTCCATTATAATATTCTTTGTAAAATCCCGCCCTTTATGAATAAATGAGCGTAACTAGTTGGGAATTGTTCATTCATTGTTTTTATACTAGAGTACATTAAAGGTGCGCTCTACCTCTCATCCGCGTGCTAATGCTAGAGGGTTTTTAGATTAGTACAGGATTAAGGCCACCAACGTCATTTGTTTATGTTTATGATCCATACCGGTATTAGCGAATTTCCTATATAGGGAATAAGCTATTACCGTAGGTCTCATGGTAAGACCTGGACCCGGGACCGATTTACTTTTTCGTTTTGAGGTCCCCAGAGGTCAAAAACACCATCCGTTCAAATTCATATATATATATATATATATATTTATTAGTAGATATATTCATGTCACTTCTGGGCCAAAAAAGGAGCCACTCAAAAATTAAATGAATTTTCCTATTTTTTTATACAATATGCTATATTTTTTACCCTTTTAGGTCAATTTCTAACATATTCATATTTTTCTAGAAAAAGTATACAATTTTGATGAAATTTTCATGAATATGTCTATATTTTACATAAAATTGACTACAAAACAAAATGTTTTTAAAAACGAGTAAAATTTTAAAATTTAATGAGTAGTTTTTATACAAATTTAACTAAAACAGTTTCTTTATCTTTGAATGTTTTAATTTCAGTAATAATTAAGTTTAAATCTTTTTTATTTAATTCTTTAATTGTTTTTTCATCAAATATATTAATAAATCTATGAGGCAAATGAACTTTACATTTTTCTAATTCAACAATAATTGTTGGTCCATATTTATCTTTAACTTTTTCAAATTTTTCTATTTTATATTTTGTATTCAATTCTAAACTTTTTATTGGTTTATATTCTTTGAATTTACATTCTCCAATATTATTAATCTCTTCTAATAGATCCATTTATTACAAAAAATAATTATAGAAATTTTAAACAGTTAATAATTGAAATATATGAAAATAATTTTAAATATCACACAACAGTTTGTTAGAACTGTTGTGTGATATTTAAAATTCTATTTTTTTAAATAATATCTGATGTATCACTTATGTTATCAGAAAAACCATTATGTTGATATATTATGCATGGATCATTTAAAGTTGATAGATGTTTTAAGAATTTTAAAAAAATATTATCAAATTCTGGTTTTATATAAAAATTTAATTCTAAAAGTTTAAAAATCATTGGTAATAGTTTTTTAAATGATATATTTCTTTTTGTAAAACTGAAATATGCATTAAAAATTACTGTAATATTTCTTTTATCTTCAAAATTTAATTCAAAATCAATATTGAATATTTTGTTTAAGAATTGATAGTAAAATATCCAGTTTGTATAATTTCTTTGTTTTAAGAATAATTTTATATTTTTAGGTGTTATTTCAAAACTATTGTCTAAAATACATAACGTATAGATTTCATTGATTAATTGTTGTGTGCGATATGGTTGAAAATGATTAAATTCTCTTAAAATATTTATAAGATGTTTGTTTTTATTTTTTCGTTTATTAATCTTTTTTTCAAAAATAATTTTTTTACATATATTACATCCTATATAATTTTTAGTAATTGTAAAGTTATTAAAATTACGACATTTATAACATATATCCATTTATATATAAAATGTTTATATCTAAATGGAAGAACTTATTCAGTGTCATAAATGTAAGAAGAAAACTAAAAATATTTATCCAGAAATTGTTGAAATGAAGAATGGTTTGTTTAGAATTGCTACTAAATGTTCAATTTGTAAAACAAATAAAAGTAAAATAATTAAAAAGGAAATTAAACCAATAATAAAAAAGGAATTAAATAAAAAAGATCAAATAATTGAAGCTAAAGAAATTCATGCTCTAATAAGAAAAAAATTTCGAAAAAGAAAAATAGTTACATTAGGTATTGATGATTTATGGGCAGCTGATTTAATCATTATGAAAAATTATGAAAAAGAAAATGATGGTTATAAATACATGTTGAATGTTATTGATACATTTTCTAAATATGTTTGGTCAAAACCATTGAAGAAAAAAGATGGAAAACATGTATCTATAGCATTTGAACAAATAATTAAAGATTCAATAAAAATTGGCCATAAACCACCAAACTTATTACATACAGACAAAGGATTAGAATTTGTAAATAAAGAATTTAATGGAATTTTAAAGAAATATAATATTAAAATGTATCATACAGAAAATGAAGAAAAATCAAGTATTATTGAAAGATATAATAGGACTCAAAATGAAAAAATGAAAGTTTTATTTGAAATTAATAAAAATTTTAGATGGATTGATATTCTTAAAGAAATAGTTAAAGAATATAATAATTCATATCATTCAACAATTAAAATGAAACCAATTGAGATAAATAAAGAAAATGAAAATGATTTATTAAATACAGTTTTTAAATATATCCCACCAAAAATAATTACAAAATCTAAATTTAAAATAAATGATAGAGTTAGAATAGGAAACAAAAAATCAACTTTTTCAAATAAATATAAAAACAATTGGTCAAGAGAAATATTTGTTGTTTCCAGAATTAATAATACAAATCCTGTTACATATAGTATTAAAGACTTGAATGATGAAGATATACTTGGTAGTTTTTATGATTATGAATTGAAGAAAACTAATTTGTAAAATTTTATACTATATAAATGGAGAAGGAATGTTCAAAGTGTAAACAATTAAAAAATATTAATAATTTTTATAAAAATAAAAAATATAAAGATGGATTACTTTCATATTGTAAAGAATGTGATTTAATTTATAGAAAAAAGTTATATGATAATATTATAGTAGAAGAAAAAAGTGAAAAAGTATGTTTGAATTGTAAGGAAACAAAAGATATGGAAAATTTTCATAAACATTATTATAGTAAAGATAAAAAATTTGCAATTTGTATTGAATGTGTTAGAAAAATGATGAGAGTCACAACCCATTGTGAATGTGGTAGAGATTTAAAATGGCTTAGTTATCTTCAAAGACATTTACAAACTAAAATTCATAATAAAAACATAAATAAATTAGAAAATTCATAAAAATAATATTAATTTTTGAAAGTATTATTTAAAAAAATTACTGGTTTAAAAAAGTTTAAGTTTTATTTAAAATACTTTATAATTTTTAAATTAACACATAAATATTTATCTTAATATTTATATTTTACAACAATAATTTTTTCAAATAAAATTATTCTTAATAAATCGTGCACATTTTTCTTCTAATAAATGGAGCGTACAAATAAAAATATATTATGCCCTTATTGTAATAAGAATATATTATCTAAAAATTATAATAGACATTATAATTCAAAGAAACATTTTGAAAATAAAACTAAATATGAAACTGAAGTTAATAACTTAAAACTTTGGTGTAAACAAAATAAAATAGTTGATTATCAAAACGAAAATTTAGATCAATTAAAAGAATTTAAGAAGTCATATGATCCAACAAATTATTCACTATTTAACAGTGAAAAATTAAAAGAAATTGCTAACAAATTATCTGTTAGAAATGTTGACAATTTAAATAGAGATGAACTAATTAAAAGATTAAATAATATCAAACAAAATCCTAATAATCTAAAATATAGATCATTACAATTTATTCAAAATCTATCAATTAAAAATGGTATTAAAATAAAAGATAAAACTAGAAAAGAATTGATTGGATTATTAACTGATCATTTAAAAAATAAACCAATTCCAAAGGAAAATGTAATAAATATTCAGGAAGTGTCATCATTAAAAGGTTATTTTCAAGAGTATTATTTAACAAATTCAAATGATGATTTAGATATATCTGAATATTTAGAATCACAAAGAAATGAAATTAAAAAATTGATTGAAAAACAAGAATTTAAAAATAAAAGAGGTCAGTTATCATTATCTTGTGAATATGAAAGACAATTAGTAAATGGTGATAGTCAAAAAACCCAAATGTATTATCCTTTAAGAAGTTCAGATATATTAAACACTGATGAATTTATTGATGATCAATTTAAAAAATTAATATTAAGAGAAAATTTAAATCAACCATCAAAAGGATCTGGTTGGTCATTAAAAAGATGTTTAGATTTAAATTTAAAACTAAGTAAACATAATTCATTAAATGGTGGTTCATATGTTGAATTACCAATTGAAATAAAAAATAAAAAGTGTTGTATAAATTTCAAAAATAAAGATGAATATTGTTTTATTTATGCAATTAGATGTGCTATTG